CTGGACAATAAAATTGCAGGAGGATGAAAGGGGGGTGATGGAACAACCAGTATTGGATAAAGAAATTGAAGAAGCTATCAGCAAATTAAAGGGGGGAAATCCTCAGGAGTAGATGGATTGGAATCAGAATATTACAAAATATTTAAACATTTATTGATACCTAAACTAAAGGTACTAATATAATAGAGTAATAGGAGACAAGATCCCATTATCATGGGAACAGTCATTAATTATATTAATTCCAAAGACGGATAAAGATTTAACAGATTCGGGATCATATAGACCAATGTTGTTTTATTGTTATTGTATCTTGGATGTTTTATTTATTTTATTACCAAGGACATTTCAACTGTTCATTGTTATGGATGTTTTAATAATAGATTAGTTGTGCATATTGCAAATATTATATTATGGTTATTGTACTTTTGGATCTTATTGTATGTGAATCTATATGGTTTGGTGGCATACAATTTCAAGAAATAAATCAATGGAATTTATCCTATAATGTGTTGCCTAAGTATTAAGATTTGTTTAAAAAGTGTTTTTTTCCATAGCCCATTTTTCAATCAGATTGGCTCTCTTACAAGTCCAGCCTATTAGAAAAAAATGGTAATATGAACAATATAGTATGTCTGCAAAGAATTTAGAGTGCCTGCAATTAGTGTAAAACTAGAATATAAAATTTAGGTATTAATCCACTTGATTAATGATATTTTCATATATGAATGTGATCACATATGACTACTTTTCGTGACTACTCTTCACTGTATCATAATTTTACATATTAACTGCTGCTATTGTTTGAAATGAAACTGGCATGTCTGTCTTTTAAATTACCATTGTTTTGGGATGTTCTTTGAGTTGAAGTAGAATGAATTTTTATTATAACTGATTACTATTCCTCCAGAAAGTATCACTTCCTTTATAGTATAAGAACCCAGTGCAAAATATTTAACTCCTAGCTGTGCATTACATATTGAAGTTATAAACATAAGGATATATAATCTTGGAGATATGTTTTCTAGCATAGCACAGCAGAGCCAACCAAAGCCTACAGAAATGAAGGGGTGGTGGTGGAAGAACAAATATTGCTGCTTTGAACATCCTTTTTATACTACAATATATAGCATGCATCTAACATGTTTGTATTCTGTGGAATGAGCATTCTATGTTATATGATTTTTGAATTCAGATTTTTCTACTGCTATCAAAATTGTGCAGTTATTTTCAGAAGCTGCTGGATTCATTTGTGGATTAAAAATCTAAATAATTTAGTGTAACATTGGATATAGATATCAGGAAGTATCCCATGAAGCATGCATAAAATTGCAGCTGTTTCATGAGTTTTGACATCATATTTGGCAAAGGTTACCATTTATTGCTTGTCTGGTTGTCTGGGATGAATTTCACCCAGTTAGCCCGGAGGAAGTGGATGAGATCCTTGGAATTGCTATGTGTGTTTTAGACACATGTCCTCCTGGTTGGTCAGTGCCAGCTGGAAAGTGACATGCAGTTGGGTCCAAGTGGTAGTGAACACTACTTTGGAGGAGTGTTTTTCATCTACTTTGAAGGAGATCCATCTCTCCTGATGTCTTGGACCTGACAGTAGCAGACAATTTTTGTCCAGTTTCCAACTTTCCTTTTTAGGAAGGGTTGTGGTAGGTGCACAGATTCTGAGGGGCCTGGAAGAAGCAGATAATCTGGACTCTTTTCAGTTGAGCTTCAGTCTGAAATCAAATTGGTCATGCTTCTGGATGATATCTGAAGGGATCCATATGTAGGTGGTGCATCTGTCCCTGCTTTCCCAGATCTTTGAGCAGCATTCAGTACCGTCAACCATGATAGCCTTTGGGACTGGCTTTGGGGGTTAGAAGTGGAGGATACTGTTTTGCAGTGGTTCTCTTCCTTTCTCCAAGACCAATTCCAGTTGTTATTGGTAGCAGGGGAGAGGTTTAGCCCCAGGCCACTCTTATGTGGGATAGCTCAGGGCTCAATTCTCTCCCTATTCCTGAATAATATCTACATGAAACCACTGGCAAGGTCATAAATTAGCATGGAGTAAAATACCATTAATATGCTGATAATACTCAGCTATATATTTCCATCTCTGGCTGTACAAGCTGTGCTGTTAAGGTTCTTACCCAGTGTCTGCAGGCTGTAAGGATATGGATGAACAAGTTGCAGCTCTACCCTGACTAGACCAAGTGGTTCTGGGTTTTTGGACCCCCTGGATTTGGTGATTTTTCATCTTTCACTCTTGATGGGATACCACTCTGTCAGACAGAATTGATATGCAGTCTGGGGTACTCTTGGCTTCATGATTCCTGCTGGATGAGTAAGTGGCAGCCATGGCCTGGAGAGCCATTGCATAAATACTTTTTGAGTGCCAGTTGTGCCTGTTCCTAGACTGGAAAACACTGCTTACTGTTACTCATGCCTTAGTCACTTCCTGATTGGATTGCTGCAGTTAGCTCTACATGGGACTGCCCTTTTGAGAACACTCAAAAGCTTCAAGTGGTTCAGAATGCAGTTTAGGTGCAGTTTTGCGTGCTCCAAATGTTGCCCATGCAACATTACTGCTACATGAGCTGCATTGCTTCCAGTGCTGATTATCACCTTTAAAGCCATCCATGGCATGGGGCCAGGTTACTTGCTGGGCCATGTCTCTCCAAGGGTTTCTGCCCATTCCACCAGAACCAACATAGTAGACATGCTCCTGGTCCCCTCTATTAAATGGTACATCTTGTGGGACTGAAAAGGCATGTCTTCTATTGCAGTGCCTGCCCTATGGACAGCCTCCATTCATCCTCTTGGCCTTCCAAAGGTTGTTAAGAGCTGGCTTTTTCCCCCAGACATTCAGGCCAGGATGACATTCAGACATTCAGGAGGTCCAAATTGTTATATAGGTTTTCCCTTTTTTGTATTGGATTATGCTTAATTTTGAATATGGGGTTTTTACATTTTGTTGTACCGATTGTTTGCCATCCAGAATTATGTATTTAAGATGTATACATATAAATTTTCTCTGAGCGAATAAATAAAACAGGAGTGTACCAGTACATGACTGCTGGCTTCCTAGTAATCTGTTGTGATAGAAATGAAGGGTGTAAATCCAGAGAAAGGCTAGCTTAATTTTTGTAACAAAAGATAAGAGTTTAGCTATAGATTTTTATAAAGGCCAGTAATTTAATTGTAAGAAAATTCATTAGTAGAAGTAGGCCTGCACCTAGACTTCACCTAGCCAGAGCTTTTATTGTACAGCAAGGCAACTTCACTGATGATCAAACGTTTTCATGTTGCATTTTGCAGAGTTTTCCCCCATTCCTTGTTATATTTTAACAAAGCAGATCTATTAAAGTGAGGATAAAGTATGTAATATATCTTGATTAGTAGCATTATAAACTGTCTGGAAGCATCCAAGTCTTCCACTTGAGGATTATTTCTTCTGTTAAATCCATCTGTACTTTTCATTACAAAAATTTAAAGGTTCAGATATATTAAACCATTCAGCATTGTAGTGGGAGAAGGAAAACATATATTTGGATATGTGTTTAATATATGTTTCTAAAAAAGAATATACTTTGATGTTGTTTTATGACTTGATTGGAAACAGAGCTATTCTTAGTCCGGATCCTGACAAAATAACCTCACTTGTCTTTACAAGTGATTATATTTTACCTGATTGTAGAAGAAAATCTCTTCTTTTGTAAAAATATGAGTAATGTGCATGAAACTAAAAACCAAAATGGAATATATTGTAGTTAATAAATTTAACTTCTTTTTTCTTCTTCTTCTTCTTAGGGTGGTCATTTGCACAGCGTCAAGTCACTGTTCAAGAAGGGCCTCTATACCGTACTGAAAATTCTCACATCACCATTTGGTGCAAGGTCAGCGGTTATCAAGGACCATCAGAACAGAATTTTCAGTGGTCCATATACCTTCCATCTTCTCCAGAAAGGGAAGTACAGATTGTCAGCACCATGGACCCATCCTTCCCTTATGCAATCTATACTCAGCGTGTTAGGAGTGGAGAAATCTATGTGGAGAGAGTTGAAGGGGATTATGCTCTGCTGCACATCAAACAACTCCAAGATAGGGATGCTGGCGAGTATGAATGTCATACTCCAACAACTGATGAAAGATATTTTGGGAGCTACGGTGCCAAGATGCAGCTAATTGGTAAAGTGTATTATGTTATTTGCACAGAGTATAATTATAAATTGTGGAGAGTGGTGGGTTGAATGTATTTTATGATGTGTTAAATTGCATAAATTAGAACCAGAGGGAAAAAAAATCAAGAGCTACAAAATGAAGTATGTTATTGGCATAGATTTGGGCAAATAAGCTTAAATTTAGTTCTGATGAAACAAAGATTTTATAGATTGACATGCCTGCCAATATAAATGGAAGTCTAGAACCAGTTCTAAGTAAGATTGTACTCCTTTGGAAGAGACCAAGCCCACAGACTTTCCTTAAAAATGTGCACAGCTGGTGTGATTCAAGCAGTTTTCTCTTAGTTACTACATCTGTCTGATGGGGTTAATTAGTAGGGTTGTACAGTGCTTCAGATTTGATTTCCAAAAGGTGCTTCAGAGTGCATTGGAGTGGAAATGTAGTATCTGTCTACAACACATATTTATCTTTTAAAAAATATTTTATTTTAAATTTTTATTTTTTACTAATTGGTGAAATATAAATAATTACAGCAGCAACATAAAAAATAGTAATTATATAGTAAAAAATAACTATACTGATTAAAATAAATGTGGCCAAAAATATCACCACAAAATTAACAAAAAAAATCTTTATAATATCTATAGATAACAATTAAAAATTAATTAAATTCTTAAAGCTTATCATTCAGGCTGGACCATGTAGAAATATATCATGTTGTCATTTTTAGAATACACAGACTTTTCAAAAGTAGGTAATAAACTTATATCCTGGATCTATTCCTTAAAATGTACAATACTTTGAAGCAAGTGATCACATGGCTGTTTGTTGAAGCTGCCATACAATCCTGGGAAAACACATGGCTGCTTTAAGATGTTGCAGACAGTTGCTCTGCATGCATCATTCTGTCCTCGGAAGCATTTTTGGAGGTCAGCAACACATTGTCCAGCCTATGGTATCTATTAATATATTGCTTTTTTGATACTTGACCCTAAAAGCTACCTATAAATTAAGATATTTATAGGTAGCTTTTAGGGTTTCAAGATATTATATTTGCTTTTAGGAGTTTTCTCTCCCTCTCCCTCTCCCTCTCTCTCTCTCTCTCTCTCTCTCTTTCTCTGTGTCAAAGAATCATTAATACGTTCTGTTGTTAAAGTAAATTAATTACAAAATACATTAATTTCATTCTACCTACATTTATTCTATAACTTTACTTTTTACACAATAGCTGTGGTAATGGTTTGTCTAACGATGACAAAGCAATTTGTACAGTCATCCTAGAAACTTTATTGAAGTGGGGGATGTACATTCATGAAATAAAATGGCAAAGATTTTAACTGGGACACTTGACATCTTGAATCACATATTGCCAATTTTAAAACAGTTTAGCTGTTTCTTTGTTATTTTGTCCATTTCAATTGCTAGAATTTCTTTCTAAGTACTAAATGGTTTGGGGCCCAGAAATTTAAGGAGTACCCATAAGACTCTGAGTATGCTTTAGTCATCTGCTAGGGCTTTTATGAGTACTACTGTAAGTGAAGCTGGTGGCAATGAAGAAGAGGGATTTTACAGTTGGGTGCTATACTGTGAAACTCCTTTCTTAAGAAATCGCTTATGTTGCTCACATGTTCTTTTAGCTGACTTATGAAAATCTGCAGCTATTTCTTATTTATCTTTTAGTGTAGGATGAGATCCATGTTAGTCTACAGTAATCAGTAATCAGGAGGAGTCTGGTCACATTCTTTCAGACTGACCAGTGTTATTAAAATTCACGCCTTTAAATAAAAGTTGTTATTGTAGTTTGAAAAGATGCTACTTGACTCCTGATATCCGTTTTATTTAAGTTTGTAAACATCTCTGAACTTACATAAAAAAAAGATTCATAAGTTGCTTGAATATGACAGATAATATTTTCTGTCGATTTCAATCAATGACCAGATAAAACAGAACGTATGATGTGTGTTGTGGTTGGTTGATGGGCTTTTCCTCATGAATTTGCATTAACATACCAAGTTGTTGTCTCCTGTTACTGATTTGTACCATTCTACAGGTAAGATATATTTTACACTTTTACAGGAAAGGTACAGTAAGCTTCAGAGAGGCTTTAGCATGTCTAAAATTGTGTTAATAATAATAGCCACCAAGTGCATCCCAGATGCTCAAAATATTGCCAGCTTCTGGTGTTATGTTAGAATTGCTTTATATATATAGGTGTAAATTTAATTTACAGTTACTTTAAATTCAGTTTGTTTTAATTAATTTAACTAGGAGAAGCAAAACCAAAACCAAAACCCAATAACCTCCTGAGATCATTGATGATCACAGGGTTTAAATGAAATGTTTCTGAATAAATCAAAGGATTTATATATTAACATTGCTTGGTAATGATTAAAAAAGGAAGGAAATCCAGTTTTTACAGAGAAACTTGCAGAATAGCAGAAGAGACATAAGTCCCATATTTAGAAAAATCAAGTCCTTTAGGCTCTTGTATTTGTTAATATTTCAGATTTAATAATTCTAATTATTATAATAATTCTAATAATAATTTAGGCAGCTAGTTTGGTGTAGGGATTAAGGCATCATGCTAGAAATGGGAGACCGTGAGTTCTGGTCCTGCCTTAGGCATGAAGCCAGCTGAGTGAACTTGGCTCAGTCATTCTCTCTCAGTCCTAGGAAGAAGGCAGTGGCAAACCACTTCTGAAAACTTGCCAAGAAAATTGCAGGGACTTGTCCAGGCAGTCTCCAGGATTAAAAAAAATCAAAACAAAACACCTGGTTTGAAGGCACCAAAAAACAAAACAAAACATTAGAACCTTTGCAAACGAAGAACAAATTTCCTGGAGGGATGAGATTTTTATTTTAGAGGTTTACATTCATCTGCAGAGATGAATGTGAATAGAAACATTTTGAAATAATTGATAACAATATATATAAATACATTACAAAAATGTCTTTAAGGGGTGACTTTCAGATGTAGGGCTATGGCTTTACCAGTTCAGAGGAAACAAAAATTATGCCATGTTTTATTTTGGTTTGGTAATCACTTCATTTTCTGACTTTGTCAGCCTGGAAGATTAAACTTTGCTAGACAACTCAGTTACTGTTCCTACTTTAGGAGTGCGCACATTTATATAAATAAACCATGAAGCTAGTTAATCATGATGTCCAAACTCACAGGTTGTCAATCCATACTGTATTGTAATGTCACTAATTGAACAGAGTAATGAAGATGGAGTCACAAGAAAACTAAGCCTGATTTTTAAAAATCTGATTTCATTTTTTAATTCAGTGTGAAAAAGTTGCTTAGAACACCCATTAGAATCCACATGACAAAATTGTTATTGACTAGTGTTATCTCAGTTTGTAGTTAGAATTTGGATGCTTTGTTCTCTACTGATGTGGAATAACATACTAAAAATGTGAGAACTATGAGTGAGTTACTGTTTTTTGCAGAAGTGAAACAAAATTTTCTGCTTTCACCATGTTATGAATTTTTTATCATATCATTAGTCCAACAGCTTTTATTTGGCTGCAGACTGGTCCTAGGGAATATGGAGTAGAGGGAATTTGCATTGGTTCTGAGTGCTATGAAATGTGGGTGAAGAGCATGTAAATGGATTGCACTACTTAGCGTACTAGTAGTTCATGATAAATATTAATGGATCATTTTGTCATTGTTTGCTGTTATTTAAATATGTAATTCTAGGAGCTCATTCTAATGTTGTACTACTTGAAAAACAAAAATAAGTTAAGGCCACTTGCTTTAAGAAAGAATGCTTGGAAGAAACAATATCTTGATGAAGCATCTGATACCATTGGGATGATCAGTGCTGTAGGATATGCATCGAGTAGCTTTGGGGAGAGGTTAAGTTGCTTCCATATAGAAATATTAACAGGAAAATCACTTTTAAGATTACTAGGAAAGTGAATAGGTAATGGCTGAAAACAATCTTTAATGACAACCAAACAAAATACAATATGGATGGTTTGGGTCTATGTTAGTTAACCAGGACTGTTATTATCATTAGCAGGAAATGCTGCATATGGCATGGTACAACTAAGATTGATAGCGTACTCTTCTTATGTTCCTGAAAAGTGTTACATGAAGGTGTTGGTTGATCAAAGCCTTGATGGGCAATAGAATTAATATTCATCTATTGACAGTCATAGTGTATGGAGAATTGTAATTTGGAATTGCAATTTGACAAAGAGCATGAATTAATGAATAAAATGAAAGAAAACACTAGAAATGTTCTGTGTTTATGAAACAAAGACAAATGAGATGGAAGTAATAAATATGAATGAAGGTGGTCTGTTGTGTGAGATTGGTGAGTATATGCATGAATGTGAAGTTGTAGATTTAATTATAAATGAAATGGCTAAATGTATGTCAGAAAGAATTAATTGGAACTATCTAGAGTGTTATAGATACTTAGGAAAGTAGAAAATCATAGATGGGTGGTAGTTGCATGGCACATGCTAGTGAATAGTAATAATGATAATAATTAAAGTATTCAACATAAAATACAACATTCTGAATTAATGCAGGAGAAATGTTATTCTTAGTGACATGAATGGATGAGAAGGAATGAGATAATAGAATACAGAAAAATGATTAAGCCATTCAGAGACTGAAAAAATTAGTTAGATTGACGACTAGTGAGAATCTGGTTATAAAAAGTCTATTTATTTCAATTACATGATTTATTTATTAGTCTGTTTCTATGTAGAGACGGCAGAGGAATCAGTCTAGAAGTGTCAAGTTGATCTTGAGAAACAGAATGAGGTGCAAGAAGTAGAATGAAAATAAAACAATTGCAGGAAAAGAAAGTACAGTATGAAAAAGTATTAGAAGATAGGTCAATATTTCAGTGGGATGAATAAAATGAATGAAAAGTGGATTTGGAGAGAGATGATACAGAAACTGCTTGGAAGAGGGTGAAAAATTATGAAATGCTACAGAAGTGTGTAGAGTTATGTTATTGAAAAAAGACTGGAATCATGAA